ATAAATTATTTGCAAAATTTACTCATACAAATCATTATGCAAGGAAATACATTACTGTGGAGGTTAAAATCCCCTTTTTTCCCACTTCACCTCTCTATTTTGATGCAAAGCCATTATCCACTTAATGCAATTAAAGGTGAGATTTTTCATAGGATAGGAGCCACAACAATAATTCCATGGGTCTTAGCACAAAGAGGGACCTGAATGCAGCTTTTGTCTTTGGGTCTCACATAAGATATGTCTTCCAAGTGCCAGCAAGGGTAGTAGCCACTAAATTTAATTGTGCTACTGAATACAACATGTAGACTAATTTAAAGAGTACTTTGCTTCTTGTTTCTGTTTGCATACAGGCACAGTTTAGAAGTAAGTGACATGTTGGGCATTATTAGTATTCTTTCATTTAGGGCTGTGGAACATCACATTGACCCTCCCCTTTCTTCTTCTGCCCTCTACCAAAGCTTCCTGTTTGGACCAATTAAGAATGGAGAGTTTACTCTTTTCTTGTTTTCCAATTTCAGAGGTTTTGCAGAGTAAAAAAATGGATATCTGAACTTACTATGTAATTTCTTTGGCAAAAGATGGTGTTTTCTTCAAGTAAATATGTCTTTGGTCAAAGAAACTGTTTCTAGTTTTCATCAGTAACAAGATGTTAACTAATTTAGCCTTGTTTTTCCACAGTTAAATACAACCATACAGAGAATTTATTTCTGCAGTACCTTGGGATTTACACTTAAATTAAGACAAAACTAGCCTTTGAGGCATAACATCATAAAATTCTTCTTTGCAACCTCTGAGGACACATCCCAGGAAGGTATGGAAATAAATATACGTACATAACACTGCCAGCTGTAGCTAGGTGATGAAAGCTCCAATATGACAAACTAGATTAAAAAAGCCCTCAAGAGATTCAGGAAGGAAAATTCATCAATGCCAAATTAAGATACGCTCAAATATTTCTTGAAAGATAGAACCTCATTATCCTACTGATTTATGGAGCAAAGTAATGACTGTGGACAGCATTGTCTAAAGACAACAATGAGCGCTGCTATATCTCAGTAATAATTAGAGTCACATGAAATCTTCAATTTTTATTCTCAGATGATTTGTAATATACAAGAAAGACGCACTAAAATGTCATGAAAATACACGAAAATAAGTTGCTCCCATATTTAAATTCTGATTGCGATGCTGCCCACCAACAAAATAATAGTAATTTCTGGCAGGAATTCTAAAACCTAAACCACAGTACAAAGCGTTTTTCACCAAATTACTCACTCTATATCCACAATTATAGCCCATTTGTTTTCTTATGCTGATAACAAAAGATACATTTTAAGATCCACGCTGTGCTACTCTTCCTTTAATAAATAAAGTGAGCTTTTCAAAAGCTTCGAAACGATGCAGATAAAAATCAAAACATTTCTACGCTTAAAGATTCAATCAAAGACTCGCCATGAATGGCCTGATGTTAAAGTTGAAAAAAAAATAAATCAATTTAGTGTGTATTTTTGAACATGATTTGTCACAAATAGCATTCCCGATAGATAAGAATGATTATATGGTAAAGAGCATAATTTATATATCTCAAGCATTCTGCTTTTGTCACTGACATCGTTAAGGAATTTGACACGTTTGCAGGAGAACAATATATGTCAACTGAAATATATACCAATTAGCCATAAATGGGACACTGAAATGAATGATGCATGTGCATGCTATACTTACAAGTAATAATATGTGGTTTAAAGTCGCTCGCGTTTTCAAACAAGAATTCTTTTTATGTTGTCATTTTAAAAATCTAATATTTCAAAAGGTCAGGAATAAATAGCACCATTAGCATTAAAAGCTAGCTAAAGGGAAAGTAATTTGTTGTTCGTTTAACATTGCATTTTATGTAATAGCTTTGTAAAGTGTTCGGGAGGGGGGAGAGATTTTACTCTTGCTAAAACAAGATGACGGCAGCTCCAGTTCATTATGAAAAGGAGATTTTTTTTTTTATTATTATGCTATTGTCAACTTTAACGTCTTGATTCTGTTAGGTGTTTGTTAAAATTACATGGGCTGCTGAAGTGGCTATGGCAAAGGATAATGCCAAGAATATCATAACTGTCAAAACAATTGTGTAGGCAAGAATCTGCTTATACTAAGGTAAAGGAACAAAAGACAAAGGAGAAACTCTTCTGCAGTGTTAGGAAGTTAATAACCCTGTTGAGGTTTCCTCAGCAGGAGGTACTGAGATCAGGAAGCCAAATTCTAGAGGAGACAAATAGTGAGGGCAGAAGGAAGCAGGTGATGTCAAAGGGATGTGGGGTACATAAAAACCAGCATCAGATCCCAGCTCCAGTGTCTGTGGCTATGTGTAAACCCACAACTATTTCCCCAGAGAGGGTATGTGTGTTCCTCCAAGGCTGGGATAACATGAAGGAAGTATGAAAGCCTCTAAAGTCCTGTGATCAGATCCTCTTCCTTCTGCACAGCTGTGGCTGTGCAGCCACAGAGAGCCAAGAAAGGCTTTGCAGGAGCAACCCAGAGCTGGACTTATCACAGCTTGATGCAGGACAAACAATTCATATCCTTAAATTTATTAAGCCTGACTGTCTTATATTACCACTATAAGGCTGACCACATATGGGAAAAACTGGAAACAAAATAAGTGGCAGCTTATAAGCAACCTCTTGGACAGAATAGGCTGGGAAGAAAATGCACAAAGAGAACACTGCTGCTGCTGTGAGGAGCTGCACATGCAACAAGAGGGATATTCAAGTAATAGTGGTGAAAAACATCCATTTTTCCCTACTGAGAAAAGTTGGACAAGAAATTGGCTTAGCATTTTAATACCCCACACATCTATGACAGCATAACAAGGGGAGTCTCCTTTAATAATTCATGCATTTTTCCCCTATTAGCCTACCTAGGATAAAGTATCAGAGACTCAGAGATCCTCCAGATCAAAATCTGGTTTATACTACGCTCTTAAGGCAGCAAAATTGGGTAGAATAATAGAATAGTTTGGGTTGGAGGGGACCTTTCAAGGTAATCCAGGCCCCTGAAATGAGCAGTCACAGCTTCAACTAGTCCAGGATGCTCAGACCCCATCTGACCTGGCCTTGAATGTTTCCAGGGATGGGGCATCTACCACCTCTCAGGCCAACCTGTGTTTCACCACTCTCATAATGAAAAACGTCTTCCTTATATGTAATCTAAATCAAATAGTGCCTTTTAATCTGGGCAAGAAGCACAAATGCAATGTAGAAGGTTTTAAACATAAAAGCAAGCTTGTACATCTCTGCCTAAAACTGGAATTGCTGGAGGATATTCTCTTCTCTTGTGTAAAAGGGAGGAACAGTTTAGCTTTTACATAAGGAACTAACTCCAGCTCTTAGTATGCCCACAGGTTGCTAATCTTCAGTGCTGATGGTTCTTTTTCTACTCTTTACAGCCTCTCTCTCCCTCCCATCACCCCATGAGAGCTGGCAGAATGCAATCAATTAAAAAAAAAACCCTGCTTTTCTCTGTATGAGAAGAATAGTGCTCCAACACAGAATAAATGGGTTTTAGCCTCCACCACTGCACAGGGAATCCAAAGCCTTGCTTGGGGGTTGATGTCCTTCAGGATGAGATATTCTGGGGGAGAAAAGGTTACCCAGAGAGGCAGAAAGAGCAGAGTGCCTCAGTCTGGGGAAACTCAGGAGAAAACTGCAGAAAAGAAAAGGTCCCTAGGAGCAGAAATCTCCAGGTCCCAGCAGTTCTGTACGCAGTTCTGTACTTTTTTCAGTGAGGGTAGGCTTCCTCTGCGAGCAGAGGAGATGCAGCCTGCTTCTCCAGCAGCAGACTGAGGGAGCTGAGACAGGATTACATAGGGTAAGAAATGGATTTGTCAGCTCTCCACACTTCAGCTGAATCTTTTTATCAAAAAGTATAGAAAGAAGTGACTCTCTCATTGCATAACCTGTTTTCACCACATCATCTGGCAGTTTTGTTCAAGGCTGAGAGCCAACATAAGGAATTTCAGGATACCTTTGCAATTTTTATGATTAGGAGCATTTCAGTGAAACTTCACTAACATTGGAAAGTTTCTATGCAGCTTTCTCAGATTCATTCTGCCTAGAACATATGAATTATAGAGTCATAGAATGGTTTGAGGTTGGAAAGGATCTTAAGTATCATCTAGTTCCAACCCCTCTGCCATGCACAGGGACACCTGTCTGCACAAAGCCGCATTAATTCTAGCACTGAACACTGCCAGGGATGGGGCATGGCATCAGCACGATTCAGCACTAACACCCCAAAACACATTCTCAGTTCCCCATGATGTTCACTGTTCCATTTCTCACAGGCAATTAAATCTAAACTTCTGTCCTCATTTTTTAGCCACTCACCCTGCTATCTCTGTTTTGTCTTTATCTGAGGCTCATTCTCCGCTTAGTCTTCAGTTCAAATAAGAACAGCATCTTCCTTAATCCTCTCCTCTTCTACTCCCCAGCAAGTCTGTGTTCCCTTGGTACTGCCCAGGAGCTACTATACAGATTCTGTTACCTGCCCCCTTTCCTCCCCCTTGTTTGAGATTATTTGGAAACAGGCTGAAATCAGGCAAATTCTTCAATAGGCTTTGGCTCATTCACTCCTAAAGCTGATCTAAAAATTCTGTCCATAGAGAGATGTCCAGAAACTTAACCTTTGCCTCCCAAACCAGCAAAAAAATCCCTGCCCAGGAGCTACTATACAGATTCTGTTACCTGCCCCCTTTCCTCCCCCTTGTTTGAGATTATTTGGAAACAGGCTGAAATCAGGCAAATTCTTCAATAGGCTTTGGCTCATTCACTCCTAAAGCTGATCTAAAAATTCTGTCCATAGAGAGATGTCCAGAAACTTAACCTTTGCCTCCCAAACCAGCAAAAAAATCCCCAACACAACACACCAGTATTACAGCTGCAGATTACAGTGTTTGATGCATGAGTAGCTTTTATTGGCAGCAAGGATTGGGGCATGTGTATGTGCTGTTAGCAAGCAGTGAGAGTTTGCAGAACATCTTCTCTCACGGTCCCAGAACCACAGAAACGGAACCTGAAGAAAGAATAAATGCAAACATCTTCAGTTGTCAGATTTTGTGCTACTATCACTATGTAGATGACCACAACTACTTGTGCAAAGGCCAAGAGACAGTCGAAGAGTGAGTGCCTATCTACAGAAATACACTTTGTCACAATGTGCTTTGGTCAATAGAAATTACAGCTGGCCTTAGGACCTCAGCCTAAAGGTAATGGTGTGGGATGGAATCATTTCACTCTGCTAGAAACTGTTCTGAAATCATTTCACTTTGCTTGAAACTGTTTCCATCTCCCCAGTTCTCTTTTAAGTGATGGAATTTTAACTATGCATTTTCTCTCTCTTCCAGATACCAAACCAAGGGTTTCTACAGGATGTTTGCTCTTGTAAAACTGGATAGATTTTAAGTTTTTCTTTGAAGTTATTTAAGGCAAAGGGTTGAAGTAGTAGTGAATTGAACTATAGATGAAAGTGTCTTGAAAGGAAGGAAATAAAAGGTTTTCTTGGGACTCTTCTTCCTTTAATGCTTTAAATAGGTTTTCTTGTGAAAAGGCTTTCCCTCCACTTACAATTTTGTCACCTATCTTCTCAAGTAACTTTCAAGATTTTCACCATGGAAATACTTACTCCGTTCCATTTTGTCCAGCTTCTACTGTGATAGTAGCAGCTCCTAGTTTAGGGAAAGTTGGATTTATCCAGTTGTTGTTCCAAAGAAATTTAACCTTGGTAATTTTTCCAACATTGGTTTCTGCATCAATGAAGGCTGTGTAAGTGTTGTCTGGTTTGAGGGTTCCCCTGTGAAAAATAACATTTGATGGATGTGAGGCATGGCAGCATTTCCTCTTAATTTCCAGTCCTGTCAATGGCTTGGCTGTGGTGTGAGGTGAGGAGAAAGTTAGCAGAGGCACAATATTTCTTATAATATGGTCACAACATTCTTGCCAATATTCTGAGGCATTTCATTCCAAATCTGTTTTTTTCAGAGGCAGCAAAGGCAAGTGGGCCTGATAAGCTGCAGCCACAGCTCACAATTAGGACCCAATTAGAGGACAATCACTGTGGGGAAGGTAGAGCTCAGTCCCTGTTGCTTATATATGTGCAGAGTTTTTTGCACATATATCAAATATGGATTCAATACTAGTTAATTTATATGATACAGATGATGGATTTGTTTGGGATGGCCTAAATGATTATCTACTAGCTGCTCAGACTGACTCTCTAGCAGAGATTCCCACCCCGTGGCCAAGTCAATTGTGCATCTGCTCGTGGGTAACCCTAGTTTATAATCTTACTGCTTCATGCCACATCATTAGAGCAAGTGGCAGCAGCTTGAGGCTGGTAAAGGCTTCAGCTACTACATCTCATGGAACATGAGCCAATACTTCTCTGATCCTCTTCTCTGTCCCTTCCTACCCCCATGCTCTGAACCTCAAGGGCTATTTTCTCAAGTGTATTCCCTGCTCTCTGAAGTCAGGAGACATTGGAATGAATCAACTAGAAGAAAATGCTACAGTTTTAACAAACTTTATGAGGAAGACAGGACTTTTATTTCTCCCTCTAGATTTGTACTCTCTCATTCATCTGCCTTCAGAGGAGGATGTTTACTCTACACATTAAAGGCTTATGGTAATGGAAGTAATGAGAGACAGGACAAAATCCCTTTGACGTTTTCTTTCTCTGATGCCTGGTAGGTTAGAGCAAGTCTTGCTGGAGAAGATAAGAAGGTCACAACCAACAACTGGATTGACACAGGCCCTGCAAAGAGCAGCTAGAGAGGGCTGGAGTGCATCCTGTACTGCCAAATCTGCCACACTCAGGTGAAAGCATTGATACATGTCAGCTGGAATTAGCTCATAGCAAACACCCACTGCCAGTGTGGGTGTGTGAAGTCCTTTCTGGAAAAGTGGAAGTCAGATAGTTATTGGTAAACAAATCCAAACCCCACATCAAAATGCCTTCTCCGTATTTTGAATTACTTCAGATTTTTTTTACTTGAAACAAACAAGAAAAATGCAAATAAACAAAATCACATGGGGCAAGGAAGAAGCTTCAGTGTAAGCAGAAAAAGCTATGAGCAACAAAAAGTAGATTTTTATATAGGAAATCCAAAGGTAACTTTAGCTGTAAGCAGCTGGGGCAGCAGCACAAGAGTTACAAATCTGTGAAAGACAAAAGATCAGATCTCTGCTAGTACAGGTACAGCAAGTCCTTAGTGCAACAAAAAAAGAGCAGGGAACACTAAATTCTAACATATTAGAATCCTGCATTCTAACCTTTTCCTTTCAGTGTAAACCCAGAGGGAGTGAACTATTGACTCATTCACATGATGGGTAGAATTTGATCACTCAAATAAGGTCAATTAAAACAGAAGCATTAATGAAAAATATGCATGAATACGAATGATGAACTTACGAGGTTATCTGGTACTGCTTTGTGTTCCCATCAGTGCCATACAGGGCAACATTTACGTATCCTTTTATTTTGCTCTTTCCAGAGAGAGTCACGGCTACCTTGTACCTCCAAACTACATAGAAGAAATACAGTGAGTTAGGTTGTAGCCAGGGAAAAACAGTCTCTAAAATATCACATGCTGATTTTTTTCTGTCTGTACACTGTAGTTGAAAGCAAAATATAGAAAACACCAGTGAGTCAGATCTGTCATTATGTCCTAATGAGATCAACATGAGAAATTGTAGACATTGTGTTACTTTCATGAGGGGAAAAAAGAGAAAACAAGTCCATATCATGGTAAACACAATGCAGAGCTCAGCATTTTGATCATGAAGGCTTTCATACACAGTAAGAATGGAAAGAAGGAGGTGTTAGAATAAATGTGGATACATAGAGAATCTAAGTAATGTAAACAAATTCTGAAGTTCAAGGAAAATATTTTTTGTGGGTGGGAACTTTCATCTGCAAAAGCAGCTTCAGAAGGTTCCAATTTGTGTTTACAAAGGCAAAGGAAGAAATGTGATGTGAGAACTGACATTTAGGATAACTGAGGTGGTAAAGGAGATCATCTGGTCCATCCAATTCTGAACCAGGACAGCTGTGATTGGATTGCTCTTGGCCTTTGTCAAAGGGAGTTTTGGGCATCTCCAAGGATGGACATTTCCCTGATTCTCAGGCTCTGTATTGCTGCATTTAACTGCTGTCATTGTGACTGCAACTATTTAGTAAGAAATTTCCTTGCTGCAACTTCTGTGCATTGCCCATCATCTCTTCTCCTTGCACCTTGCAGTGCAATCCACTCCATGACCCTCACTAGACTCTCTACCTTGTCAACAACTTTCTCCTACTGGAGAGCCCCAAACTGGGCACTAGTGTTGGAACAAAAGAGGAAAAAGCATGAAGAACTGAACAGCCATGGAACTGCAATTAGATCTGTGCATCTGTTAAAATTAATTGTAAAACAGGAATAGTAAAGAAGGTGTTTTTACAAGGAATAGTTGGCAATGGAAAGAATCAAAACTCACGAGGAAAATCCTTGGCCTCTCCAGTGTTCAGGTAAAGTTTCACAAAATCATTTTTGAATTTCTCTTTGAATTTATCTGCATAGTGACCCATATTTGGGCATCCCCCTTCTGGGCATGGGAAACAGTTTCCCTAGGGAAAACAAATATACCTATTAATAACATGAGCCAAGAGAAAATAAAGTGTAGTCATAGAACTAATTTTTAACATACCCACCTAACTGTGCATTATTACAGCAACAACATAATTCAAGTAACCCTTTCTAAGACTTCAGAAAGATCATATGAGCTAGGCAGCTTTCTCAAAGATTCTGATTTTTCAGGGCTTTGTGTTTTCTCTCAGCCATTGGACTGAAAGCAGCCCAATCACTGACAACCTTGCGTAGTCTTGAAGTGGATCAGTGAGAATTGTCCTTCTCAGCAACTGATGAGAAAGAAGATTGTCTCCTTATAGCTTCAAGGTGGGTGAAGAAAGGCTTTACCTTGAAAAGAAACCTGGTTTTTGTGATGAAAGCAGCTTTCTACTATGGTGAGAGACGCAGGGAGACACCTTCTCATACAGCAGTGTGAATGTGCAAAAGTCTATCTAATCACTCTGTAATTTTATACCTTTGTCTGTGCTACCTGTAGGATATGACAAACCTTTTACCTCCCACATACCCTTTGGCTGTAGTTTGCCCTCTCCCAGTTTGTAAGAAGGATGTGCTTCCTGACCTTAGCCCTTAAACCATTGCTTTGTCCCCAAGGCCATCTTCAGTCACCAAAGGTCTTTGAAAATGGAGTGAACCCATCAGGTTATCACGTATCATTTTACTTCTTCTTGTCTTAAAAATAAAAAATTTAAGCCGTTTTGAAAAGATCCCCTGCTACAGTATGGGATTCTGCTCCTTGCTGTTCAATAAACACCTTTGGCCATTACAGGCACAGGCTCTCCTCCTTTCCCTTTCCCCAGCTTGGTGTAGCAGAATAGGCCTGGGGAAG